GAGCCTAAAGTCATTTCAAATTTTTGTCAAAAGTTGGTCGGTTGGTTTATGTCGCTTTTTTAACGTCTAACTTGTTGGTACCAAAACTAAGGTTTAAAATATTGATGTCGATGGAAATATGGAATTCTCAATTTTATAAAAATGAAATAAAATATCGATATTGATGAACGTTGTTAGAAAAAATTATAAAAATAAATTAGAATTTTACATTTTTTTTTTTTGTTATGTTTCATCAAAAAGAATTTACAACACACAATAGAAATTTAATTTATTCGAATGTCCATTGATGAAAATGTCGTGATATATATATTATTTTATTTTTATTTTACTAAAATAATGGAATTTATAAGGATTGAAGTATTATTATTATTTGAAAATGTAATATTATATAAAATATAATTCTCTTAATATAATAAAATAAAAACATTTTATTGGGTATTATTTAGCAATATGTATTTATTTTTACAACTTCCCTAAGACTAAGGAAGCCAAAAGACAGATCATTAGTTTACAAAAACAACTAATAAATTTGTGATTGATTCCAACTAACAAAGGCTTTTGAAAATCATTGATCAATTTAATACAATATATATTTCATTTTAATTTAATTTAATTTATATTATATGCTTTTTCTTTGATCTCAATGCTTTATTTAAATATTATATGAATTATTGCCGCATGTTCTTTAGTATACACATGGATACAGTTGGAATTTGACTTCTAATATATATATATATTTTTTTTTATTTTTGTGATAATTAAAAGTTTGGATAAGAAAACATAAACCGCATATTAATTGTTTTTCACCTCTATATTTTACTGTGAATCCTTTGTTTTTACCGTTTTTTTTTAGGGTCAGTTTCCGTAACTGTAAAATTACTCTAAGTCATTGAAACACACCTAATATGTAGTTTAACCGGGGAACGAGGTTGTCTACCAAACCAAGAAAACTATACACTAGCGTCGTGTTTGCTGCACATACTTTGATACTTAAACCCACGAGGTAAAAGTGTAGCAAGTTTAGGTTTAGAGACAGAGACTTGAGGTCTAATTGAAGCTACACGCCTTCTATTATAAAAATCTATTTATTTAAGGGTTAGGGTAAATCGTTTTTTTTTTTTTTTTTCTTTCTTCTGAATTTGTTTAGAAAAAGGTTGAATCGAACTTCTCTCTAACTTTAGTGGATCGTGTGTGTGTGTGTGAGGTGCACACTCACACGTGCTCGTTTGTCCTCTCTTAAAATATCAATGTTTCAATCTATGATAAGGGATATTTTTAGAAAATTTATAAAAAATAAAATTAATAAGTTAACATTTTACATTAATAATAAAAAAGGTTTAAATGCTTATTCTATATATTATATTAAAAAATTTAACATTTTTTTTTCTCCTATTTTCTTTATGTTTCATCAACTTTTTAAGTTATAATGGAAATATCGAGTCATTCTTATGCTAACAGATATTGTCCGCTTTAGCCTATTACGATCGTTGTCAGTCTCAAGGCTTCCTTCGTCTGTAAGGGCAGCTGGCAACGATACATAACAGCCAAAAGCGGATAATATCTGCTAGCGATAAGTTTGAACTATTACAAATGGTATTATAACTAAACACCAGGCAGTGTGCCCGCGAGGACGCTGGGTGTCACAATCGCACTTTGATGGCAGCAGACTTACGATTGTGCGACACTCACTTCCAAGCAACAAGTGAGTTATAAGCCTATTTGTTCTTGCGTCACCTATGGCCAAGCGACGTATGATTGAGCCTCTGACCCGGTTCATAAAGAAAATTTTAGAAAACGGGGGCAGAGAGATTTTGAAAGCAAGATTTGAGAAATCGAAATTGGTGTTATATGAGAATACAAGCAAAAAGCAACAACAACGACTTACTGCATATAACTATCGAGTAGGGAGAAGTTGACAACTAGTCATATTCCCCTATAGTACATTTTGAGGCATTTCATGTCTGACAAGCTTAGAAACACACCCTAAATGAGCATGATTGTGACACTAGGCTCCCAAAGGGGTAGATTTTAAGATTCCACATTTGTTAGACGGGAGAACGAAACATTATTTATAAAGGTGTGAAAACCTCTCCCTAGTATACACATTTAAAACGTTGAAGAAAAGCCCAAAAGAGAAAATCCAAAGAAGACAATATCTGCTAACAATGAATTTGAACCATTGCAACTGATATCGAATCCGATATCGAATCCATGAACACATATACATGTGAAGACGTCAATAAAAACTTAATATCATATAAAATTAGTAGTTGCATTGAGAGATCCACCAAATATTGAATCCCATGGCTTTACAAGGCAAGTTTTGTGATGTTTACAACTTTTTTTACACCTAAAAGTAAGCACATGAATGTGTTTGTTCCACATTCAAGAATATTTTAGTATCTTCCTCTCCTTTATAATAATTTAATGTGTTTGTTACAATTGGACCAGGAGGGATGAATTTAATAATCATATTAACATATATGGAAACTATTTCTAACCCCTTTCCAAAAAATGGAGAACTAAAAGTCGTAACCGTTAAGCCATTACTTTTATTGACGTACAGAAACTGTACTTCAACATACCATTTATGTAAGAAGGATAGAAAATTTTCATCCCATAATATTTACTACTGTGTTATCCTCAGTAAATGAGAAATACATGAATGAACTAAGACCATATCCGAATGTGAATAATTCTAACATATGATGACTAAGAAGAATTGAGAGTTATTACTTATACCAACAAGGTACACCTTCTTTTTCGATAGTTCAATCATAAGAACTTTATAGTTAAGCGTGATTTTTTAGGATATACGTGAGTTAGAACAAAATATGTTGAAAGAACCCTGAACCCCTGTTGGTTGATTCGTGGGGATAATCTTCAGTTTTAAAAGCAAGAAGTAAGTAATGTGACGAGGTCGCTGGAGAATCTTGTGGCTATCAGGTGTCGAATTCAGATTTCGAATTATGGGTAATGGGCGATACACATTGCAATTTCACCCATAACATTTTAATGGTAAAAATTGAACAATTAACTTTTATAGACTTAAAAAAATGAGTCCTATTAAAAAAATTAAAAATAAATGTAAACAAGACTTGTCGAATCTAGATTTGTAATAATGATTGTGAGATCTCGCGTCTAGTAGAGGGTAACGAAACATTTCTTGTAACTGTGTGGAAACCTTCCTCTACAGACTCATTTTTGAAACATAAGGAGATACGTAATGGATTAAAACGGACAATATCTGCTATTACATAATCCGTCCGTAAAATTTGAAACATAAAGCGAAAGCTTTAAGTTGATTAGACAAAAAATTATATATAATTTGTGTATGATTGGTAGGATAATGATGCAATTATGCAAGAAATGATGATGGTGATGATTGATTTGCCTTTCCTTTTATTCCCTTTGACAAATAAGCTTTATGAATAAAGAAATGAGGAAGAGAACATGGCTTGGAGAAACCACAACTCTCTAACTTCATTTTCGATTTTCGCTTTTAGGAGTGAAAACTATAACGAACTATGCCTAAGATTCAGACCAGGATTCGAAATTTGAATGACCCCAACACTCTCCTACATATCATGCGATAGGGTCATGTTGCCTAACTATTCCTAAAGACCAACACAGATCCTTTCAACATGTTTTGTTCTCACTCTAATGTATCCTAGAAAAATTTTTAGGCGATCACGCAACATAAAATTGTTCAAAGCAAAACATGTTTTAACTCTGAAATTCCTACTATGGTTGATATAGGTAATAACTTTCAATTATTTAAATATTTTTTAATCATCTTATGTCACTTACTACTAAGTTATGCTCATCTTAATAAAAAAAAAACAATAAATTAACTCGTTTATGAGCGATAATTGTGTCTGCCGTTTAAATTGATAAAATTGAATGTCTTTAGTTTGCACAATTATTAATTTATTTGTAATTCTCAAATTTGGTGAACTAAATTAACTTTTTCTCCTTTTAATTTTTATTTAAAATAGTCCGACAAATGAATGATCGAGTAAAGACAATATCTCTATAAAAATATGGTAATTTTTTCAATAACAATGATTTGATGGGTTGTCGTGAAAAATTGTCATTGCATGTAACACTCTTTTTGTTCGGTAGTATATGTTGGGGCAAGTTTAAGTCTTTTGAAGTTGGAAGAGTTCATTAAAGACAAGATAGCTAGCTTTAGATAGAACTAGTACGGAATTTAGATTAAAGTTTATGTAAGTAAATGAAAAGTTACGTTGTTAATAGAGTAATTTGGGGTAAATATTTTTTTAATCGTTAGTGCATTTACCCATCAAGGGTATGGATTAATTGTATGTTGGCCGGCTAGGGTTCATAGTCATAGGTTGGCTGGCTAGAGTTTCAATTTTCAGGACCACAACCTAATTGGTCATGTTCGGGATTGGTCACACGCCCCAGTTGATCAATGCTTGCCAGTCCAAGGGCACGACACATGCTAGTTACTCCCCCTCTCCAATTTTTTTTAATAACTATCTTGGGCAGGACACGCCAGTATACATGAATGATATCGTATATGCTTTTCAACTTTTACATATGAGATACCGTGTAAAATTAAATTCATATTAGTTTTAAATATAAGAATTAATCCTAAGTTACTGATCTCAATTCCCTTTTGACAGTACAAGAATACGTGGAGTTGGACGATATCATCACCAATATTCAATACTGGGTCATTCATAGTATTACTATACGTTATCTATTCGTTGCAGGTTGATTATTCGTTTAGGTTTAGCTTACGATGTTTTTGAAAGCCCTCGCCTAAATGAGTATTTTACAGCTAGACGACAAAAAATCTCATGAATAACGAGGCGTCTTAATTCTTTAGAAAAACGCGATGAATTTAGCGAATTTATTTTAGGTTGAATGAATGTTTCAAAATTAATCCAATTTTTATCCTTAAAATTTATAATTTAACCTAAAATATTATATGAAAAATCTAAAGGAATTATGGGTTTCCATATTTGCAGTGAGAAATGAAAGAAGTGAGAAATTTACCTTACTCTTGGAAAGGGCCGTCACTTTCATTCAATACCTTTTTCTCTTCTCTCTTCTTCTGCAAGAGATGTGATTTCCAAATAGTTCTCCGCCCAAAATCTGAGGAACCAAGGATTTGCACCGCCGAGGAACATCGCAAATCCGTTCAAATCTAATGGAAACAATTGATTCAATTACTGGTTTCTCTAATCTTCTTCAACCTCCAGATTTCTCTCAGTATGTTGAAATTGATCCGACTGGCAGATATGGAAGAGTATGCCCCCTCCCCCACCGCTCTTTCTCTCTTGTGTTCATCCGCTCTGATTCTGATTGTTTTCTGTTCTTTGTTGCAGTATAATGAAATCCTCGGCAAAGGAGCTTCCAAGACAGTGTACGAATGAATTCAGTTTCTCGTTCGTCTCCTTTGCATTTTTGTACTTAGCATTGATTTTCGGATTTTTTTTTTTTTTTTTTTTTTTTTTTTTTTTTTTTTTTTTTTTTTAAAA